AAAATCATGTCCATATTAAACACATACAATCTTTGTTCCTTGTAACTTTTCCCTAGATAATGTGGTATAACTGCTGTTTGCCTAGTGTTTACTTTGTGTTAGATATTACAAGCCATCTAGAGATGATTTAAAGTAAGGGAGGGTGTGTGGGAGAATGTACACAGGTTATATGCAGATACTAGCCCATTTTATATTGAGCACTTGAGCACCACAGATTTGGGTTTCTACAGTGGGTTGTTCGGGGATTCTGGAACCACAGGACACTGAGGGGGAACTGTATGTAATCAATCTCTCTTTCTCTCTCTCTCTCTCTTTCCCTCTTTCTCTTTTTTCTGTACTGGGAATTTCATCCACTGAGCTATATTCCCAGCATTACCCCTCCCCCCTTTTTTAAACATTTTTTAAAATTTTGAGACAGAATCTCACTAATTTGCTTAGGAACTCACTAAGTTGCCCAGGATGGTCTTGAACTTGTGATCCTCCTGCCTTAGCCTCTTTGCTTACTGGGATTATAGGTGTGTGCCTGGCTGTATGTAGATTCTGTTTGCCTAAATTTACGGAGTAAATTATTAGTCTAAGGAAATAAAAATCATAATATACATAGGAAGCTTTGGTTTCTTTATCTGCAAAATGGGAATGATAATACCTACCACATAGCATAACAGGAAGAGGAAAGCAAAAAACATATGCAAGGGGTACCTAGCTGTGCCAGCCACAGTGGGCATCCAATTTTGGTTGAATCAGAATTAAACAGAATTAAGCAACCAAAAGCTAAATTAAGCAGGTCTCTTGAAGGATTCAGTGCAATGTGTTAGCATACAGGATGTCAGGTCAGAGACCTGGGTTTGTTTTTCTTGGCTGCTTAACATCCCTAATTCTCATTTTCTTTATGTGTGAAATGGATGTATTTACGAGAGTTACAGTATTATAGTTAAAAAGATTTTGTAAGGTACTGCACCTAGAGTATGTGGTATAATTGGACACATAGCACATTCTTGGGAAATTAAAAATGTACGTTTATGGATGTGATTTATATCACAATTCAACAGCAACTCATGAACAACTACATGACCAGTAACAAAATATAGAAATACATATGTGGACTTGTAGATTATTTGTAAATGGATAGAATGATCAGAATTGGAAAGATGTCAGTCTAACAAGTGTTGAGATTTAAGGGCAGGAAAGGACATCATTGAGAAGAGAGCAGTGCAGTCTAAACAAATTATATAGGGTCTAAGTCGGGTAGGAGAAAAGATAGGTGTTTATATGGAAGAGATAGAAGCAGATAGCAGAGCTCATGACGAAACAAGAGGACATTACAAGGAATGACCACAAGATAAGGCTGTGATTTAAATTTAAGCATTATCCTAAATTCCTATCCACTTTGACTTCAGTATCACTAGTGTGCCTCACCTTTCCTCCTGACCCAATTATAGTTCCAATTCACTCTCAGTTTCATTCACTTTATCCTTGACAGCATTTAGATGCTGTAAATATGGAAGGTGAAATGACCTGAAGAGACATATAAAGCTCATCCTTCTTTCTTTTAAAGTACCATGCATGCCATTTCCTAAGTGTGTGCTTGCAAGCCTGATATTTGGATGTCTCTGTTGTCTTGCTTCTCTTTCTTCACCTGTGTGGGTGTTAATGATGACCATGATCATGATGATCAAAATGATGCTAGGTTAAGGATATCATAAACTTTATCGAGGGTTTGCTATGGGCCAACTGCTGTGCTAAGTATTTTTCTGCATGTTTTCTTAATTAAATCTTGCAACAAGTCAATGTTAGGAGCTATTACTATTCCTGTCTTATAAATGAAGACATTTATCCTCAGAGAGGCTAAATTCCTCAAGCAAGGTTAATAGACACATCATGGGCCTGGAATTCAAATCATGGCACCTAAGATCTTGAACACTCCTGAAATGACACAAAGGAGTAAGGTGGGTTTCTAAAGCAGGACATACTTTTAGAACTTAGGCATCCCAATACAAAATCAGTGGTACTGCTCTGTATATGGTTGGGTGTTTCCAAAGAGATCAGTCCATGGCCTTTGGTCTTTTGCATTCAATCTGTGGTCCATCTTGATGCAAATATAGGGTTGTGGTCCATTTTTAGGGCATTTTGGCTATTTGTTTTTGCTTGTAATACCCACAAATTTTTATTTAGTATCTTTAATCTTTAGGCTTAATGACATAGAACTAGAGAAAATATACTACTGTTTATATTGAAAAATTTGAAACTTAATGATCAGTTTTTTTTTTTTTTGAAAATGGCTCCCAGATATTTTTAAGAACAATGTGGTCAATGCTGCAAGTACACCTAGTGATCATGAAGTTATTTTGCATATTTATGTCTGTTTTTTCCTTCTTGTCTGAAATCTTTTGAAAATTCTAGAGCAAAATTGAAAAATGGCTGATCTCACCCAGCTCCTGGAAAATGATGTATTCATGGCTTTTGCCTCCTATACAACGATTATCCTTTCAAAAATGATGCTTATGAGTCCTGCAACTGCATTCTATAGACTAACAAGAAAGGTAAGACATTTTTTGGACTAGTGTTTTCAGTTCTATTATAGATTTAGAGTATAACTTTTGGGGTGAGAGTGGGGAGAGATGAAAAATATTGAATAAAAGAAAGAAAAAAGGCTAAGAATTAAAGTTCTTCTTCCTAGAGTGGGCTCTTATGACTGGAGTATGCTAACCATTGAACTTTGTGTACTTCTGACTTAAGTTAATAGTATTTCTACCCAGCGTTGTAAGAGTGAATTTAAAAAAGTCAAGAGGCATGGTCAAGGTGACAGAAAGATTTTGAAGTACACATCCCATGTTCAAGCAGGTCTATGACCAAGTGAGAGGAGCAGAGAGGCTGCTAGACAAAGTGTAAAATTTTCATTGGTGCTATCCCTGTGCCTATTAAACATCTTCTTTCTGGAAGCCTCCTGTTTCTCTCTTAGGTTCCTGTCCTGAGGTTTTGTCCTCTAGAGTCTTGCTCCTGTCTAGAGGTCCTGGCCCTCTCTGAGGTGTTTCCTTGTCACTGTTGGAGATATGGGGTTGATATCTGGAGAACATTCCCACATATTTAATTCTGTGATAGGGTTCAGTTGTCCTCTGGAAACAAAGTAGAAGCAGGGAAATCCTCCTGGTCTTAAAAGAAGGAGGGAATTTGAATTTGTGGAGTGGCAGGCGCCATTATGTTATTGTCAGCATAGTCAGGTGAAGTTCAGGTTGGTCCCCTTTTTATAGAATAACTGAAAGACACAGAGGTTAAGGTCAGTAGCTGTCAGATTCATCTTGAGCTGCCTTTACAGGATATCTTGGACTGGATGGTTTACAATAGCACATATTTGTTCCACACAGTTCCTGAGGTTGGCAAGTCCTAGATCAAGATGTCAGTAGATCCAGTGCCTGGTGAGGGCTGGATTCCTGATGTGTACATGGCCATGTTATCCTTGCATCCTTACTTGGGGTGAATAGAGAAAGAAAGAAGCAAGTTCTGCCCTATCTCTTTTTAAGGGCACTAATCCCATCCATGAGGGTTCCACACATATGATCTAATCACCTCTCAAAAGTCTCCACCTCCAGATACCTTCACACTGGGGATTAGGCTCAAATATATACGTTTTGTAAGGACACATTCAGTCCATAGCAGGAGGGGCCCCACAGTGGCATAACAGTAGAGGATAAGGCTGAGATTCAAATTCAGATAGTTTAAATCCAGATCTCATACTCTTTCATTGTAATATATTAATTTCTTTATTTAAAATGAACATGTCAAACATCTCATAGCCAGGCATTTATTTAGAGGATACTGTGATGAACAAGGCCAACAGGCCTGTCTGCAAGAGCTGTTGATACTGTATCCCAACCCTGCCTATCAGTTCTCCTCAATACTTTTATCTAGAAAGAAAGCTCTTATCATATTAAGAAAAAGTTATAACATTTATGAGATGTTTTTCAAGCTTAAATTAGAACTAATTTTATAGTTTTTTTTCCTTATTATAAATTATTAAACATTGGGACATACTTAAATATTTTTAAAATGCATCTTTCAAGTTTCAAGGGATGGGGAAATCATTTCAAAGAGCATAATAATCAGAGGAAGCGATACATGAACACATGCCATGCCCTCAAATGTTAACTTGTTCTTCCTAGGAAGCAATTCAGCTTCTTAAATTTAATATTATTTGACCCAACATTTTATCTGGCTCAAGAGAAAGAAGCATACATATCCTATCAAAGTACAAAATACCTTTACCATCCCTCACTTTCTTATGCTTCTTGCCTTTTTTTTCTAACAACTTTTGGTAATTAAATGTATTACCTTCAGACTGGCTGGTTCCTTGGAAATGCTAAAATACTCGAGGGAGGGTGTGTCCACATGTCATTGTGAAAAAAATGCTAGGGTACCATAATAATAATGATAATAATTAGTGCTGACTCAGACTTATGCCTCTTTCTATTTTTTCCTTCCTTCTCACTATTTTTATATTCTGGTTTTCATTTAAGTTCACATTTATGCTGCTTTTAGAAATAATTTGCGGGCTGGGATTGTGGCTCAGAGGTAGAGCGCTTGCCTAGCACATGCAAGGCCCTGGGTTCGATCCTCAGCACCACATATAAATAAATAAAAGGAAAGGTATTGTGTCCAACTACAACTAAAAAATAAATATTTAAAAAATATAGTTTGTATTGTTAATAAAGATTCAGGTTTAAACTGTGAATGAACTGTGGATGCTCCTGTGTGATTTATTGCTCTGAAATTTCTTTGCTTAGGGACCAACCTACAGGCCTGCATTTCTGACATTAAAATGCAGATAACTTAGGTAGAATACCCTCATGCTGTTTGGTGTTTGCAATACGTTTTTTTTTTTCCCCCCTTGGCGTTTGGAATAGGTGTTTGCCAACCCAGAAGACTGTGAGAGCTTTGGCAAAGGAGAGAATGCCAAGAAGTATCTTCGAACAGATGACAGGGTGGAACGTGTACGAAGGTAAACCAGTGTCTCTGGAAATTACCTACTCAAAGAATTTTGGTCAAGGAGCTCAGTGAAGTTGTTTGGGCCTTGGAGAAAAGGAAAAAAAAAAAGTCATCCACTCGGTATAACTACAGAAAAGTAGAGATCTCAACATCTCTGAATATAACTGTTATTGCACATATTACTAATTTAGTTGCACTTTTGTATGGACTTTTTATTTGTTCTAATTAGCTATACATGACAGTAGAATGCACTTTGACACATCATACATAGATGGAGTATAATTTCTCATTCTTCTGCTTATACATGATGTAGAATCACACAGGTTATATAGTCATGTATGTACATAAGATAAAACACCTGACTTTGTTGGGATTAGTAACTGTGCTCTGTATAGTAGTAATGGCAGGTAGAAGGTAAAATGGAGACAGTGAATTCTTGCAGTTTTGTCATCTTTCTCCAGAGACATGACTCAACCCATATAAAGGGTTGAAGAAACAGGTGTTTTTGCATAAGGTTTGAAATATGGAAGTTGACACTCTTCAGAGAAATGAGTACCAGCTGAAGTATCTAGATCGTATTGGCATTATCCATTTTTTGATTCCTGGTGAAAGTCTGAAGCCCATCTCAAGATTTCTGCAGATTCTCCCATGGTACATGGCATATGGCCTCAAGATTAACTCAGGCTCTGGGTTCATGCATTTGTGCATGCTTCTGCATTCTGCACTGGGTGTAACCTCAGTCTTTCTCTCAATTCCCTTGACAAATCAGCTTAAAAAATGTGTATAAAAGTGGATTTAACTGAATTGAAGTGCAGAGAAGGTTACTGTGTGGCAACCTAAGCATTGTGTATTAGAGTTCCATGTCTGACAATGTCCTACAGAGTCCTCAGGGAGAATTTGCACCACACCTTCTTGTACCCCAAGTAGCATCCAGCATTTTATCTGGCCCCATATACTTTTTTGCCTTTCCTGTACTAAAATTAAATTTACTTTTTTATTTATGCAAAAACAGTTTTATCTCCAAGCTTTTTATCAAGCAAGTTTTTTTTTTTTTTTTCTCTCTCCTAACAGAAAGCCTGTGTTAGAGATTTAGGACAAAATGTTCACTTTTGTTTCTTTTAATTATATACTTGTTAATTCAGCAGCTCCTGAGTTAGTCAATTAGTCAATCTTGAAAATGGATTGTGTAGAGAGTGTGGATCCAAAATAGTTTCAAGACAGAATCAATGTGAGGATCTCAAACAATATCAAAGGAAAAGAATTAAAACTAGAAAAGGTGAGTGGCACTCACTGTCATAGATTTCTCAAAACCATTAGACATAGAGTTTAAAATATATCCTTTTTTGTGTTTGCCTTTGACAGCAGGACCAGAAAGTGCTAGGACCCTCAGTGGTATTAGGAAGATTGAAAGGAAGTTCCAAATTTCATATATGAAAGTTTTAACAATAAAAGCTATTTTACTGGGGAGAATTTAGATTTTTTCCCCACTATCATTTCCTACTTCTCATCCTCAACCCCTGTGCCCACAGGATTGTATCTCTGAAAGTGAAAGCCATAATCTAAGCTGATCTCCAGTCAGGTTGCAATTGACCTGGTTCTGAAAGGGTTGTCCCTGAGGTGCAGGAACTGTGTGCACTGCGCCCCCTGGTGATCAGACACTGACCTTACAATGTGGCAAGAGGAGGAAGAGGAGGGTATCTGGCAGAATAGGGTGCTAGTTGCCTGTTCTAGTTTTTGAGAATTTATTGGCTTTCTCAAAAAAAGTTCCCAATAACAATACACTTTTGAAGATAATTTTCAGAGAAGGCGTTTCAAGAATTTCCTTTTTCCATTTAACCTAGATTTTTTCCCCCTCTCTCCATCATTACACAATTATAACACAATTATAAATCCAACACTATTAGCACATCTGCATATTTCAATGTCAGGGACCCAGGAGAGACACAAATGAGGTTAAAGGTAAGCTTTAAGGAATGTGATATTGAAAAAATAAATATATACACATACAGATTAATTAGTTAAAAACAGAGTAATGTATGTTGAAATATCAAGGTTTGTGGCTCAAAGTCAGTTGTTTTGAGCTGTAGGCAGACAGAATCACTGATGATTAGGAAATCATCTATTTAATCCTGTTTCACTTATTCTAGGAAGAATTCCAGACCATGTACATTCACTACCACAAGATAAATGAAAGTTGAAAGGCAAATGGGGCAGCCACAGAAATAGTCATTCAAAAGAACTTGGGTTTGATATTTAGGGAAAGCAGAGACATTGAGGACATACTACCATCCCACCTTCAAAGGTAATGCCCATTTACTGGGAGGGTTCAATGGATCCTCAGTGATACTTGTTGGGGATTCTGTCAAGAGATTGAAATGTGTGGCTGGGCGTGGTGGCATATGCCTGTAATCCCAATAGCTCTGGAGGCTGAGGCAGGAGGAATGCAAGTTCAAAGCCAGTCTCTGCAATTAAGCGAGACCCTGCCTCTAAATAAAATATAGAAAAAGGGCTGGGGATGTGGACGTTGGTTAAGTGCCCCTGGGTTCAATCCCCAATACTAAAAAAAAAAGAGAGAAAGAGAGATTGAAATGTGAGCTGGAGGTTGAACTGTGTGATCCCTCATGTGGTCCCAGTGTATGAATAAAGCATTAATTGAGGGAGCCTTGTGTATATATCACTGCTATATCTTCTTTTGGGATCCTGTCAAGGAGCTTTAAGACTAGGTTCCTGGCCAGGCATGGTGGGAAGCTGAGACAGGAGGATCATAAGTTCAAGGCCAACCTAGTAGCTAAACAAGGCCCTGTTTCAAAATAAAAAATAATAATTAAAAAAGGGATGGAGATGTGGCTCAGTGGTTAAATAATTCTGGGTTCAACCTCTAGTACCACAAACAAACACAAAACAAAATTAAAAAAAACAAAAACAAAAAACAATTTCCTCCCCAAAATTACGTTTCCTGCTAGTGTTCCTCTTCAGAGGTTTATAATGTTCCCCATGAAAATAAGATCAACATGTCTATAATAGAAAATATTATGTACTTAGGAATATTTTATGAAGGAGTAACCTGAAAAATATGATTTAGAAGTAGGAAGAAGAAAAATATGATAACAATTTGAGGAAATTTCTTTGTGGGAATTTGGACACACTGCTGTATGCTAAGACTGAGAGGTTTGGTGAAGACGGGGTAGGCAGGAAGTATGGTTACAGCTCCTTTTGTAGTTGGCCGACCTTTGACAGTTTTTAAATGCATGTTGCAACTCTAGTCCAGGTCAGGTAGATGCCATGATCCAAGTTATTCTGATCTGAGGGAATGCGTGACCATGGTCTCTTGAGCACAGAGCTGGTGGTAGTCCATCACAGGGCAGGTGTGTTCCAAGGGGCATCTGTCCAAAGAGAAGGAAAGCTGAGAACATGGACTCATGGGGCAGTGGAGAGTAGACCCGGGTAAGAATGGTTGCTTCGGCAAACTGATGTTTACCTGGTAACAGATTCTAGCTGTGTCTATAAATAAGGCTAGATGGAGAAGGCTGCCACTCTGTGAAGGACAAAAGAAAGGACAAGGAGAAGGGTGGGGTGAGCTATATAGGGGTGTCAGTAAGTGTATACCCAGGCAGGTTGGCACCAGGTGTATACTTACCCGACTGTGGGTATTGGGCCTTCCTAGGACAATGAGGAGTGTTATTTAGAAAAGCTTTTCGAGGACTGACGAAAGAGAAAAAGAATGGAAAAGGAGAAATGAGAGAAGGAAAAAGTTGGAGGGCCCAATAAGGCCAAGAGGACCCAGTCCTTGACTTTCTCCTCCTTCTTCCACATTCCCCCTATTGCCTGTGACTTTCTTCTTTGCTTTAACGTTGTGTTCTATTTGACAGCCATCTAATAGAGGCTTAGGAGTAGACATGGTTTTCCAAGGGTATCCCTTTTGTCATTTCTTCCCCAACGCTGAAATTTTTGTCACATCATCATGAAGGAAAATCATGACATGCCCGATACTGGAAGTGAAGGCGTCTTGGTCTTGCAGGAGAATTCAGAGGAACAAAGCAAATGGCACTGGTGGACAGGCGAAGCGGGCCCTTCCACACGGAGTTCTGTCCTTCCTTCCCACTCCTGCCTGATTCTCAGTGGTCCTGGCACTGTTCCGGGAACCAGAGGGGACAAAACCACTTCATTCTGCCTTTGCTTTTACTCAGGGGCAGGTGGTTCTTTATTTCAGCCGTTTCCCAGGCGTGCCTTCTTCATCCTTCTATGCTGTCATTGTCTTTGTCAGTCAGCCTGGAGATCTTCGGGAAGACAGAAGGGAAGGGAGGGAAGGAGAGCGATGACCACTAAGCAGGCAACATGGAAGAATTATCTTTTTGGGGGTGGGGCATACTGGGGATTGAACTCAGGGGCACCCCACTACTGAGCCACATCCCCCGCCCTATTTTGTATTTTACTTAGAGACAGGGTCTTAGCGCCTTGCTTTTGCTGAGGCTGGCTTTGTACTCGCGATCCTCCTGTCTCCACCTCCTGAGCTGCTGGGATTACAGATGTGTGCCAGCAGCCTGTAAATAATTATCCTTTATGCCAAAGTAGAAGAGCCCTATAAAAGAAATGTTTTTCACTTTGGTATATGTATCAATAGCTGACAAACTCTATCAAAATCTCTAGTCCTAGTTTAGAAACTAAAACAGTTTGGGGGGCTGGGGCTGTGACTCAGCGGTAGAGAGCTCGCCTAGCACATGCAAGGCCCTGGGTTTGATCCTCAGCACCATATACAAATAAATAAATTAAATAAAGGTATTGTGTCCAACTACAACTAAAAAATAAATATTAAATAAAGAAACTAAAGCAGTTTGTCATTCTGTAGGCTTAAAAAGGGGCATCAGATTTTAAGATTATGAACTTTTAAGAATGTCAAGTCAAAAAAAAAAAAAAAAAGAATGTCAAGTCAGTAATAGATGTGCCTTTTATTAAAAATTCTAGCCAGGAAAGCCCATGGTGCCTTATGGCTAGACTATACTTTTTGTTTTCTTCTAGTGGTGATATAAAGATAAAATTTAGGAAGTCTCTTTTATCTTTTAAAAATATTTTAAAGTTTTAGTACTGCAGATTGTTCTCTATCACTGATTTATTTTCCTAGCCCCTTCTATATTTTTAGTTTTTAGACAGGGTCTTGCTAAGTTGCTGAGGCTGGCCTTGAACTTGAGATCTTCCTGCTTCAGCTTCCCAAGTCTCTGGGATCACAGGGGTGCACCACCACACCTGACTTCTTATCATCTTTTGTGTATATTCTGTTTTATACTGCAAGCTTATTAACTTATTCCTTTTGTGGTTTAAAGATATGAGTGGCTAAAGTTTTGGCCATCTTCAAGAGGCTATTTATGTGTTGTGCTATTTTTATTTGAAGAGATGAGTCTTTGCTATTCAGTTGGCTATTGCTATTAAGTTTGTAATCTAGTGGTTTGGGTAAATGGGCAAGCATTTTCTTAATCACCATTTTAAAGACTAGAAAAATTACAGGAAGTCTCTTAGGAAAGATTATACCCCAAAAGGTTTTTTTTTTTTCCTTTGTGAAGAAGAGGTTTTAGTAGGAGGAATCTTGAATTGCAATATATATATATTTCATATTAATAAAAATGAAGTGAATTTTCCTAGATGCAATTTTGATATTCCCAAAACTATAAAATGACTTCAACAGACACTAGTATGGCAGTATGTATAAACGTGGATGTATAACCAATGTGATCCTGCAATCTGTACACTTGGTAAAAATAAGAATTCATACCCCACTTGAATCAAATGTATGAAATATGATATGTCAAGATCATTGTAATGTTCTGAGCAACCAATAAAAAAGAGATACACTAAAATTAAAAAAAAACAAAAATAATGAGATGATATAACAATGAAAGTCAAGTGAGTGAGGAAGCAAAGCAGTTTGAGAGAAAGGCTTTTACTTTGCAGTTTAAAGATCCATTAACATCTACATTTAATTTTTGGAGGGCGGGAAGAATGAATACGTTTCTGCTGATTTTGAAATTTTAAGAGTCATTTTTTTCCCACAGAGCCCACCTGAATGACCTTGAAAATATTGTTCCATTTGTTGGAATCGGGCTGCTATATTCCTTGAGTGGTCCAGACCTTTCTACTGCTCTCCTGCACTTCAGGCTCTTTGTTGGAGCACGGATCTACCACACAATTGCATATTTGACACCCCTTCCCCAACCAAATAGAGCTTTGGCTTTTTTTGTTGGATTTGGAGTTACTCTTTCAATGGCCTACAGGTTGCTGAAGACTGGATTTTACCTGTAAAGAAAATCGAGTACTTCCCATGCAATTGGTTTTTAAGAATTCTATACTTCCAGTATATAATGAATATTTTCTGAGGCTTTAAGTGGGAAGGGAGCAGAGAAAGTAGGAATGGGGAAAACCCATTTTAAAGATTAGCACTGCTAATATCCTTTTATTCTTGCTTTATATTTTCTGTAGACATTCAACAATAATTCTTAAGTCTTTTGTGTGATTCTTTTAAGTTCTGATTGTTATAATTTTCAACATTCATCAACATTTCATATTATGAATCTATAAAAAATTGATTGTGTGTGTGCGAGGTCTATATTTCAATACTGTGGAAATAGTAATATGAAATAAAGAATTTAATGAATGGTTTTGTTTTCCCAACTGTTTATATTTCAAAATTTCAAAACTATGGAAAAGTTGTAAAATAGAATAAAGAACCTCTATATACCATTCATCTAGATTCACCTGTTGTTCACATTTTAGCACATTTGCTTTAGCTTTCAAAAACAATTTTTTTTTCATAAACAATTTGAAAGTAAATGGCAAATATCATGATACTTTACTTCTTTATATTTAGACATATTTCTTGTATGAACAGCATAGTCTCCACAAAAACCACAGTACCATTACCACACCCAAGAAATGTCACATTACCACAATGGTATTTGACATATATATTCTACAAATTTATCCAATTTTTCTAAAACCACCTTTATAACTTCTTTAGGATCTAAGAATAAAACAAGGCCTATATGTTGCCTTCTGTTACATTTTCATTAAAATAGAAGCATTCCTTCACTTTTTTGTTGTTTTTTGTCTATCGTGACATTGATTTTTTTTTTTTTTTGAAGAGTATATGCCAGTTGTTTTACAGAATGACCTTTACTCTGGATTTTTCCTATTTAGTATGTTCTTAGTCTTTGATTCAGAATAAACATTTGGGGTCTGGTTATGTGCTGTTCACATTGTATTATATCAACAGGTTTAAGACATCAGTTTGCTCCATTATTAGTGATATTAAATTCAATCAGCATAGTAAGGGTATACTAACCAGATTTGTCTATTATAAAGATATCTTTTTGTCTTTATAATCATATGAGGGATAATAAATTAGACTATGTTCCTATCCTATCCCCTTATAATTTTTACCCACTGAGTTTAGTACCCAGTGATGCCTAATTTGATTTCTACAATAAAGTAAATAAGCATAAAAATTTATTCAGCATATATAAACTATAAACACATTAATCTGTATAAATGCAGATTTTTTCTCTTGAATGCAACTAGGTGTATTTCAATTTTTACAACAGAGGGTTAACTTTTAAATCTCAATATTCTTCTATACATGCCATTAAATTTAAGTTAGTTGTTTTCCTTTCTACCTCTTGATTAGTCTCAATTTAAAATACATATTTCTTAAGTAGTACGTTAATGACTATTGTGAAATGTTCATTTAGGTTTGTCACACAAGAGAAAAATTACTGCAATATTTTAGTTTTAATAGTTTGAACAACTCTAAAGTCTATAAACAAAACCTATTAGGCAGTTTTCTGTGTAGACTTCTTCACAAGGTTTCTCTTGTTTTCCTAATGTTAAAAGCAGCTCTGCATACTGTGGACCGAACTGTAGTAAATCTTCATGGTGTAATTAATGGAAAAGAACATGAATTCTAACATGAAAAATCTAAAATCCAAGGATTGGGTTTGAACACACACACACACACACACACACACACACACTCTTCTGTTCTCTGGATTTGGGAAAACCCTCTTACCTTGTCTGAGCTACAGTTTCCTGAAGCTTTTTATATGACTTGTTCAAGGTAATGTGCTTTTATGTATTTGAAGCATATGAAAAAAGTATGTTCTCACAGGTAAGTGTTCTTTCTGTGTGTCACTTACTAGAGCAATCTATTAATAATAAAGACCCCATTTTTAGTTGAGTTTTCCTGAGCTTTCAGTAATAACTTTATTTAACCCTTGTCAGTGTTCCCATTGTTTTCTTAAAATTTCTACTCCCCTGGTAATGATTCTCGGAACAGAAGCAGAATGGATTATGGTTATTGTATTGGTTATCTATTAGCTATATTTAATATCCATTACTAGCCAATTATTAGGATAAAAGAACATTTAAATTTTAGAGTTTTAAAACTATACATGCAGAGCATGCTTCAGGGGGAAAAAGCCTGGAGATTAGCTACTTAACTTTCCAAGTTTGAATAAAAATGTTTTTTAAACAACAATGGTTTCTATTTTTTCACTCATAAGAGAATCTTTAGATGTTGGGAGATTTATTAGTGAAACTGCTTTTATATAGGAGGAACAGGAAGGGAAGAACATTGGTTCATGCTCTACTAAGAAATCTCTACCTAACCACATGACAGCACTGGCTTTAGAGTAGTCTATCTGGTAGGTGGTTTTAATAGGGGATGGGACGTGGGGATAGCACAGCTTGGGTTAGCACCATTACCTATGAAGGATGCTGTCATTGGAATGTCTCCCAAATGTCTATGTGTAAAAGGCTTGGTCATGGGCCTGGGGTGCTATTGAGAGGCAGTGGAAACTTTCAGAGGTGGAGCCTAGTGGGAAAAAGCACATCATGACAGTATGATATGCTATGCTGTCATAGGCCCAAAGCAACAGGGTCAAGTGATCATGGACTGAAATCTTGAAACTGTGAGCCCAAATAAACCTTTCCTACTTTTAAGTTGTTGGTCTCGGGTATTTTGGCACAGTGGTGGAAAGATGACTAATACAAAAGAGAACATGTTTCTTCCCCTTAGTTGTACCTCTTTGAAATAAAATATTATGGTTTATTTATATCTGGATGTGCATCCTCATTTGTATACACAGAAATACACACATACATTTACACACACCACCACCACCTCCACCACCATAACCAGTACTAACCATTATGGATGCTCAGTAATTAAGTTATGTTGTTGCATCTTCAAACATACCATCTCTGTTTATTCATGCCTTGCTCACTTCTCAACTGCCCCAAACCAACTCTATCATAAGTAAATCAAGATCCTTCTACTGAAATCAGAAGATATTTTTCTGTACCTCTTACTGAGGAATTATCTAGGGCAATGATGGATGTTCTGAGGGGAAGTTTCAGACTCTCAAACGGAGAGGGGTAGAAGTTTTATAAAAAATGTGTATATATAAATTACATGAAATCTTCATTATATAGTACAAAGCCCTATTGTTTTCTCTTATAATGTTATATGAGGTAGAATCTTCTTATTGGAAATGTCTGATATTTGGCTTGGGCACATTGAAAGATGGAGATCCATCATGAGATTTTCGTGTATATAGAAAGACTGAGGTTTTAATGAGGTTGAGGAAATTTTGTCCAATCAATATCAGGTGGACAAGTCCCTCTATTTTTGAAGAATGAAAAAGTTACTCTTTTCAGGGTGCAGATGTGATCAGGTGTGAAGAGGCAGACTCATAAGAACCTAAACATCAATGAGACTGGAATGAGTTTCAGAATGGCAGGAATTTCAGGGAAACTCACACTTGTACTTGTTCCATGGCCAGATTTTCTGAATTCCAGAGTTTAGACCCTTTTTTTTTTCCTGTAGTCAATTGCCCTGGCAGATAAATTGTGATAAGAGAGGAGAATCCATGTTG